ATCCGGAATGATGCAGCGATGGTGCAGGGATGGGGCTGCTTTAGAACCAGTGTGATAACGTCCAATGTGGTGAGTGCCAGAGGCATTTCTAGCAGGGTGCAGGGGTGCAGACTACACAGGTAGGGATAGGTTGCTGCTTTCAGATCAGAGGTATATGGCAGGGAAAAAAGGCAATTGTCTGGAAAAAGTTTCAGCTGCTTTAAGAGAACAGTATGCATACTGTTCTCTTAAAGCAGCTGAAACTTTTTCCAGACAATTGCCTTTTTTCCCTGCCATATACCTCTGATCTGACCGGGCTCATAAAAGAAACCAGTGCTGGTGCCAATCAGGCCTCCAAAGGGAGGGCATTCCCTAAACAGGGTGCCACAGCAGAGAATGCCCTTTCTCACAATCATAATCACAGGATGTATCATTCCTACTGTTAGGACATGGAGGAAGTGTTACCCCAAACTCAGACCCCCAAAGTGAAGAGGTGGCATGATAGCTACGTTCAAATACTTGAAGGGATGTCATATTGAGGATGAACCCAGTTTGTTTGCAGCTGCTGCTGCCGCCACTGAAATAGGACCCAAAGCAATGGATTCAAGCTACAGGAAAAGAGACTCCACCTAAACATTAGAAGAGCTTCCTGACAGTAAGAAATGTTTGACATTTCCCTTGGAAGGTGGAAATCCTTTGGAAGGTGGTGGAGTCTCCTTGTCTGGAGATTTTTCTACAGGGGCTGGATGGACATCTCTTGAGAGTGCTCTGATTGTGTATTCCTGCATGGCAGAATGAGGATGAATTGGGTGGCCCTTCCATTTCTAGAATTCTATGATTTACAGTGGTGGCTCCATTCCGTCAACTGCAAACACCCCTTAAAATCCATCTTAAAAACCAGTCAGCCATCTATGTAGTGAAGGAGTTCTGGGGCACTGGCGAGTAGGCGCTGAAGTCCAGCTCTTCCTCAGACAGAACTAAGAGTAGTGACATGGGGAAACTATGTCTTCCCCAGCTCAGTACAACTTACAGCTCTCTTCTCCTTAATTGCAAGATGGACAAATGTCTCAGCCCCACATCTGTAGGCACCTTCCGCTTCAAGGCAATGACAACATGAAATCCACTCACCTGGGAGGACTCTCCTGTCCTTTTGGACCCTTCTGAAAAAGTGTAGGAGCAGCTGGGCTTTTTATCGTCCATGAGCCTTGGAAGAGAAGAATCACACTATTGAAGCAAAGGAGAAACCTGGGTGATCTTGATACTTGGCATATTGGGTTTTTGTCTTGTCTTGAAAAAAAGAAAGCAAAGGAACAAGTGTGGCAAAAAGGAAGTCAATTCTACTTCCATCATAGACCATGTTGTTT